TGTGAGACCACTATATTTCTGTCTAAAATATATGGTTTAATTTAGGAGTGCCTAAGTGACCCCAGCAGCTTCTGATATATAAGTTGTCAGGTCAAATGACCTCTATGTACTTTCTTGCCAGAAGCTCAGAGCAACGGCAAGTGGAGCACTTTGAATGGATCCCATTTGTTATTCTTTTAATTGCCTACTAATATTTCTTTTGGTGGGAAAGACTTAATAGAGCCCTTCTGCCTCCAAATGTCTTCCAACTTATCCAAACTGCACTTCAGCCAAAACAAATACAGGTCTTCAGTTCTCTAGAAATGAAAAAGAAACTTGACAGGGGTCCAGGAGATTCCTGTTCCGCATATAGCTCTGTAACACACCTTTGGCAAGCAATTTAAACCATCTATACCTTGATCCCCCACCCATGAAATGGTCTGATTATACTTTCTTTATCCCAGACTTTATTAATCTTGCCTAGCCAGGCTGTTCTCTGATAATGGGGTATGTCCAGCATCAAAGACCCATGACCCGGGCCTGCAGAAAACACAGGATTGCATCAGGTTGAGGAATATTCTTTCCTCATAAAATTCAATTCTAAAGCAGAGCGGAATAAACCAAACAAACAAAACAAACTCAATTATCACATTTTCCTATGGAATTACTGTTTATCTGAATGTGGAGAAAACAGCAAGTTTCCTTTAAAAGCACTTGCAATGAAATTCACACTCTGTCAGGTGTAAATTACAGCCTGTATCTCATCTTGTTCTATCTAGAGCTCCTTTCATAGTCATGCATAGCATCAGTGTACAAAAATATTTCCTGCATGTGATCAAGCAAGTGTGGGCATGTAAGATGCAGGCAAAATATGAGACTTTTAAAAGAATGTTTACTGGTATCTTAAAAGAAAAAGAAAAGTTTGTAATCATGCCATTTCTCAATCAGATAAGGTGAACTACAATTGTCCTTGAGAACACAATTCAAGTAAATCTAAGAAATATTTTCTTTAAGAAGTTGCAGAGAACTGAGGTAGCTAAAAATAAATGACAGAAAGAAATAACAATCCCAGGAACACGATTATGTTGTGCAATCACAAATACAGTAGATCACTTAAATTAAGGCCGGATCATAATAGAGTTGCTCAGTGGAATAGCGTGGAAAACAGGCTTTTCATCTTTTTTCCCCCCAGTGTTTTATGCAAGATCTGATTGCATATGCTCTACGACATCTAATAGATTACTTCAGACAAATATCTTCTCACCATAGTAAACTCTGCAGAAGCCTGGTTTCTGGTTCTAGACTCATCTCTGAAATAGTGAACTCCTCCCTGAGTCCCATGGATTGGAGATACTGCAAAGGGCATCACTGCCACAAAATGAAGCATCACTGAGTTTGGGAGGAGTCACCAGATGGAGTTGTAGTACACTTACACTGTCATGTTATTTCAGGGTACAAACAAGATTTCAGCCTGGGTAGAAATTCAATATTGTTAATCTTCTTTAGGACAACTGTGGCTAGGGGCAAGGAAGTGGTGTATTTAGTTTAATTACACGTCCAGAAATGCCTGAGCTAGGAAATTCTCTCTTTAAAGATGGCAATTTCCTTTCATTTAGGAATAGTTTAAGCGTCTTAATTGTTAAGCTATCTACACAAATACTATACCTCAGGTTTACTACTGATTAGGTTTCCAAATGCTTATCAGTTGGTAAAGACTGGGTATCTGTCACAGTGCAGAAAGAGAAGCAATAATTTTCTGAATGATAAAAATTTTTGGGGCACTAAAATTAAAAATCTGCTCATTCAAATAGGGCCTGAACAAAACAGTTTTGCATGACTTCTCAGTGAATGAAATGTCATACCTGCTATGAATGGCTACAGAACTTCTGAAGATTCTGCAGACAGGCCACCTGACTTTCCTGTCATGTCTGGCACAGGTTTTTGCATTTTACAGGATAAGACAATCAGGCTTTGACCCTTAGCTTCCTCATAATCAACATTTCGGCTAGTAAATTCAGTTTAATTGGAATTTATTCATATTTCTGAGGGGAGTTTAATGATGGAAAGATTCATACTTCATCTCATCTCAGTGGTACTAAGATTTACGTATGCAGATCCATCACTGAGAATGGCCTGGCCTCTGTTAGCATTAATTGGAGCATATTAAGAGACTTAGCAGAAAAAAAAAATCCAAATATGAAATGTCAAGAGACAGATCCATCTAGTTTCATATCCTGTAGTTATAATATACCTTAATTACTGTTAATTAGGAGATATTGTTCCTGGTGGAAGATCATCTGACATAGTTTCTATTGGTGATTAAACACAGAATGGAATTCAATACATTTGTTGAATGTGGGATCTGTTTATTGTGACTGTACAATTCTATCTAGAGTATCATTCCTACTACAAAGCAAAACAAAAGAAAGTCGCAGGTCAAAAACATTTCCCTTGACTCATGATGCTTTAATATTCCCTGCTGCCTCCTTAAATTTTCTGCTGCTGGCCCCTTAGGACTCCAGCACATGTTGCAGCTCCCACTAAGGAGGGATACGAGGCTTCTCACTGGGCTTCAACTGAGCTACATCAGAGCCTAAATGAACAGCAGATATAGGAAAAGGCTGAAGGAAGACAAGTGCTACAGGAATTGACCTCTGTGGAAGAACAGTCAAGTTGGACAGAGAATCAATGAAGGCTTCAGTATCATTTGTGAAAGAGTAATCTTTGATTTATTGGAGGACTGCTATTATGTGGAATCCTTTCCTCATACAGTGTAAAATACAAAAATTAGAAACTCAGGCTGAAGGCATGAGCTCAGCTTCTACTGGTATCAATACAGTTTGCTCACACTCATTGATCTGTGGCTATATATGACCCTGAAATACGTTTTGCTGGGCTGCCTGAGATCTTTGCTCATGCCCAGAATAGAAATGATGGGATTGGTTTTATCACTGAAAAGTAAGCAGTGCATATCTTCTGCCTGCAAAGTAACCAAATTAACATTTGTGAAGTAATCTTTTCTCAGTTACCAAAAAAACAAAGAAAGGAAAAAAAAACAACCCACCAGCATAATTGGCTAGACTACTTGTACTAGGAAAAGTCTTGGTTTTCACAAACTCTGTGCATACTGGTTTCCTAAATACTTGTTTACTCTGAACTGCAACAATTGTGATAAATCATTTGCTATTTACTCTTCAGTGCTGCTATATGCTTTGGGCAAAGATTTTTTCTGTTCATTATTTATTTATTTCTAATAGCAAAATCACAATTTTAACACATTTTTCCATTCCCAGTGATAGATTTTATCTTTGATATGTGATCCAGTTATTTAACTACCTCTCCCTACATCTCCCATGAATTGTTTACACAGCAACTTGGCAGCATAATTTGCATATCACAGGAAAGATCCCATTACATGTTCCCAGAGGTGCGGTTTCATGAGCTTTATCACTTTCTTGCACCTAGGCACATCTCAGAAGCTGAGTGTCTGGTTAATCCAGAAAGGCATTTATTGGCTGCCAATAGTAATTAAACATTAATTGTGCAGTTATAACATTTCCAGCCACTCAGAACCTATCCTCCCATTGTCTTAGACAAATATAACACCCAAAAAGATATTTATCTTTTTATACAAATTTTTCTGTCACAGGAAAATCACAGACCTTTGTCTTTAATGCATTCTGTCCAGCTGTTGCAGACTTGACCTAAAATAATTAAACAAGGAACAAATGCACAAAGGAAAAAAGTTGGAAAAAAAGAAAATATGCTTAGAAGCAGAGGAACTGAACATACCACGGAAGAGCCAGAGAGGATGTGGAGCTGGACATGGTATTTGCTCTCCAGACTCTTATTTGGTGACTGAATGGGACAATAGCCCTAACTGCAGGCTTCATGGTGATGAAATGTCCATGTTTGGGTGTATTCCAGATTATTCTTCACCATTGTATAAAACATTAAAAAATGACAGCAGCATGACTTTCACTGAGAGGAGCACTCACTCCAAGAGCACTCTACCAACATCAATGCATACAATCACTATGTGATTGTATGCATTGATGCATACACATTGATGCACTAGGGATCAGGGCACAGGAATTAAAGGGAAGGCAGAACTACGAGTGAAACACCAACAAATTTACTTGCATAAAGCACTGCTGCCTCCAGATCTTTTCCCAATATGCAGAGAAACAGTACTGTGCCTTCAAGAAGAATTTTCCAATGCACTTTTGGGGGAAACAAACATTGCAGGTACAAAATTTTGTTAACTTTGATTTTCCCTCTACAAATCCACCTTGCAGTAAAAGACTACTTACATGAGGTTTCAGAAATGCAAACTCTCTGTGAATTTGGATTCTGAGCTCTGGAGTAGAATTCTTAACAAAACTAAGGCACTTTTCAGAAAGTGCCCCATGCAAACCTAGTAACACCCCTCCAGTTCCATTCAGTGCAATAGCCAACCCAGTATTCTTCTCCCTAGCAATACAAAAAAACCACAAACTCCTCCACACCAGAGAAGGCTTGAAGAGAGAGAAAGGGTTGATTCACTGACAAAACTAATGGGCTATTGAGTCAGTAGCCTTTGAGTCACAAAGTCAACGTCAGTGAACATTGATCGAAACTGGTCATATCTCACAACCCAAGATTGCATTATATAGTGCAATAGCCAGCAGTCACAGTGACAGAGCAACAGGGAGATGAAGCACAGCTGTCTTCTCAAGTCCAAGTATAGCCTGGTGGGCAGGAAGGAAAATCAGAGCTGTTCCTGCCTGTTTAAAAGAGAGCATTTAGTTTTTGAGCCTGTCAGCATGATTCTTTTTGAATGCATTATGTTCACTGACATGCCACCCTGACATTTTGTTTAGTAGTACAAAAAAACCCAAAACCTACAACAAGAGGTAAGGTTATAAAATCAAATATGATGTTTTCTGCATGTTAAAAGAAGCATTGCTTCCACAGAGACCTGGTAGCTCGAACAGCTGCAGCGCAGTGCCAGTACATGAAAACCAAAAAATGGAACTGACCTGGGTTTCACGGTTCAAGCGTGCTGTGGCAGGGATCCCGGCACGACTTCCAAATTCAAAGCTTGAATAAACACAGTTGTAGTTTCTTGAAGTGGATGCTTTTAATGAAGTCTGAAAAGGGTGAGAGAAAGGGCATATATTCCTGGAACTTATGTCTCTTAGGTAGAAATTCTGCCTGGAGAAGCCCAGCTCGTGACTGTTTGCTATTAAGACTGTTCAGGAGAGAGGGAGCGTCTTTGAGTTCACATACTTAATGCTCAGTGGTGTGTCTGCGGAGTGGCAGGAAATAAACAACAGTGAGGAGGGGTTAACCAGAGACCTGCTGGCTAAAATCTATATGCCTGGAAACAGAAGGGAGAGGGCTGCAAGGTCAGATACAGTTCAATTGTTTCTAATAGGGGGATCTGCCACACAGCTACCAGGCACAGACACAGACACCTATCAAAGGCTGTACCCATTTTCCATCTCCCCCTAAAGCCAAAATAGCAGTTGTGCATGATGTCACGTCAGTTTTTCCAAACTGATCTAGAACGTCCTAATTCCCAAATATAGCATCACTAGGAAGCTATACAGTAAATAGAAGAAGAGGACAGAGAGATCAAAAAAGCCACCTATGCATGGTCCTCCATCACATCTGAAACTCCTAAATCACACCCTGAGATGTGTTCTCTAACTTATTTCCTAAGACAGGTGTGTGTCTTATGAAATAATGTCCCCATTCTGCCATAACTGCATCAAGGGAACATCCACACAGATGGTCAGATGCAAGGAAAAGTGTCTCTGAGCCTGACAGGAGATGGTACAGGAAAAGTCCCTTTCCTTGGAGCCTATCTACCAAAATTTCACCATTGCACCAAGTGACTCAGCAGGCAGGCAAGGGAAGTGCTTTGTGAAGGCACCAGCCATGTTTGCAGACAGAGGTATGGAGGTGGGCACGGGGCACAGCATGTCCCATGTCAGAGAGTCCAGATGTGAGGATGGCCTCAGAGCAGGAGGGACAGCGGCTGCCCACTACGTGTGAAATGTGCAGAGGAAGAATGAGCTAAGCTATGCCTCCAAAGAGCTCCTTCTGCTGCAAGATGCAAAGGATGCAGCAGACATGCTCAAGAAGATCCATCACAAGCACCAACATTGGCAGAAATCAGATATGATTGCAGACATTTCTCTTTGGCTTTTTGCAAGCAGCTTTTCTTAGAGAAGAAAACCTTTCTTAGAGAAAGACCTGGGATACTGCCTCCCCTTCCCCCAGAAAAACCCAAATTCAAACCCAACATGATTAACTGAATTGGTGGACAATGGTATTGAGGAAACACTCAGTAGCAATGGAGAAATATACTGTAAAGCATAAAGTAGTACTGTGATTGCATGCATTTTTTTGCATACAGAGTATTTATAGATGCTAACCCGGGCAATTTCATATCTCTAGATATTTACTCTGTGCTTGTCAAATGAAATGGCATTTTTCATCCCATTTTGACTGGAAGAGAGAATTTGTTTGGATTATAAATTGTTTAGAATTACTTGTTAATGCTGTCGGCTTTTCTGTATCTGCTTGTAGGAGGGACAGGAGGGAGAAAACAAATAATACATTACACATAAAAACACAGTGGAGAAAAATAGAAAGCAAGCTCTGTTTTCAACACATTTAAACTGTTCAAATGAGAGGAATCAGTTGCTGTGGAAGCAGATCTGCAGCTGAATAAAACCTTTCACCTGTCCAACATATGAAATATTTATTATCTGAGGGTGACTAGAGATTAAATAAGCCAGACATACAATGCAGAAAGCAGACCCTGGCTCATCACCTGGCTCACCACCTCCATGATTTTCACAGGTCTTGCGGCAGCCAGATTAGATTTTGCCATAAATAAAGGGAAGTGGGCTCAATTACAGTATTGGGTGTCAGGAGAAATAAAACTAGAGGAAAGCAACTTCTCAACTTTAATTTAACCAGGTTGGTGAAGCAAAATGACGATCCTCTGCTGTGTTTAGTAAGGCTGGAAAATGTTATCATTTCCAATTAGAGAGAAGAGCCCACTCTCTCTTTAGATAATTACTTTTCCAATAAATTGTTCTTGGCCACTTGTTTTCCCATAAAAAATGGCTAGTCTTTTTGTCTTGTAGAAGTTTTTGGGTTGTTTTCCCATCTTTTTTATTCCCTTACTTTGTGTGGGTTGGACTTAATTTATTATGGGGCTGAAACTTGGCAGAGATCCAGACACAACAATATGAAAAATGCTCATACTAAAATTCAGTGATGGGATTCCTTGTTCATTTTATCTCAGAGCCTCCCTGATAATTCAGTCCTGCAAAATTGAGCACAATTGATGTAAAAGTGGGTATGTAATCCAGGCAATTTTATTTTCCATAAAAATACTTTAGATATTTCTTTTGCTGTAGACACAACTCTGACTATGAACAAAAGCCAAAGCCATTATTTAAGAAAGTGATAATTTTGCATAGCTGCTTTCAGCGGTGAATCACACTTGGAAATAACATTTTTGTCCTTTATCACATTCATTTCCTAGAAAATCTGGATTTCCAAGGCCTTTGGCATCCTTACTATAGCTAAACAGCTTTAATGTCTGCATTGTAAGATGCTGAAATTGTCTAATTAAGCTAAGGGTTAAAAATAAAGCAAAATTCTATTGTTATTGAATCATAAATGATACTATGATAAAGTATATTTCTGCTAAGTCTGATGTCTATGTATGAAGTGACTGAAAAGTTTTAGTGAGTTAACGAAACACCAAAATATGATCACTTCTTTCCATTTATGCCTACTGCATTTGGCAATTGCATGAAGACTTTAGCAGTAAATATGGGATCAGTCAACATGATTTCAAGTCAGATTTACAGGTTCTTGGGTGCTGCATAGGACTGATCCTGCCCCAACAATTAAGATGGAAGTGAAGTTAAATGGGGAGGGGAGAAAGAGCAGCAGGAGAAAAGACGCCACATGGTATCCGAGCCACTGAACAAACTGTGCCATCACAAAACCAATGCACACACTGCAGAAACATGGGGATTCCTGGCTTCACAGAGGCAGATGATATTTATCTCTAGCCTCTTCCACAACACAACAGACCTTAAAATATTAATCAGTCCTCTCTTCCAGTTATGCTCTTCTGGCATGAGTCCTGTGCTTTAATAGAGTGCACCTCTGACGGTGGAGGGCAGGAGCCCTTTCCATATGTAGCACATAATACTCAGTTATACACTCTGGCTTTTTCTAGTCTCAGCCTCCATTTTCATTGCTTCTGTGCAAATAACTTCCTTCACATCTGTTACAGTCCCTTTGCCCTCTCACAGAGTGCCGCGCTTATGCCTTCCCAAGTTTGCCAAAAAGAGATTGCTAGGCTCCAAGTGCCCCAAAAAGCACAGAACGTGCCTTCTTTCCTGCCTTTCCATCTGCCTGGAATACCCTCCCTTCTTTCCCACCGTGGTACAACAAGTACCTTCCCTTTCTTTGAGAAAACTGAGAATCCATCTGTTCGGCAAGTTGCTCCATCTGCAACAACGGCAAGTCCAGTGATGTGCTGCCAATATTCCAACAAAGGGCTCCTCTAAAGCCATTCCCCTGAGTCAGTAACACAGCCCACGTACCCATGGTGGGGATGCTCGCAGACAGGGGGCGTGTGGAACTGGCAGGCTTTTTTCATTTGCTTTTCGCATTTCCACAAAATGCTTTCCCATATCCAAGGAAAGAGGCAGCGCCATTTGGCAAATACATTTCTGTTATGTGCTTCCTACCAGAACTGTTAATATTTGGGTCCTGGGAATTAAAAAATAACAAACAAAAGAACCCGCTTTGTTGAGACAGTTGCAGTGAGTGCACCTGGAGAAAAGACAAGGGATGACAGCGGTAGGGAGGGATCTAAATCCCATTAAGGGACTCCTCAGGACCATATCTGTGTCAAGCCAATTAGTGAAAGGGCCCCAGTTACAAAAAAGGAAATCATGCCAAGTTTTCCTTTTAGCATGAGCTAGTGAAGGCTTGAGCTCTACAAACATGACTGATCAGTCTGAGGACAAGGGTGAGGGAAGAGGGGTGAACAGTGAAGGCAGACAGCTCTTCAGAAAGGAACTGTACACCACTTTTGCCATTCATTCTTCTGTATCAGGTGTGAATACATATCATACAGTTTGTAAATACATACATATGCATGTGTATATAAACACACGTGAATTAGACAGTTGCTTTTACAACCTTTGGCTGCTGCTTTTGCTTCAAAAACTGTTCTATCTCAAGCGTTTTAGAAGTCCAGGCTTGATAGTTTTCCATATGTGGTTATACAGAAGTTGATACAGGCAGGACAGGATGCTCTGACTACATGTACTTTGGATTGACCACTTTTCCTGTTGCTGTTTATTAGCTGCACAGTCTTAGATTTATGACAAGTTTCAGAGACATATAAATGTCCAGCTGTTAAATTAAACTGAATAAATGGAACTCCCAAATTTTTCAAAGGTAAGAGTATAATATATAATTTGCCTTCTTTTTTTTATTAATCAGCAGTTTTTTTAGGATGGTCTTCACAAAAAATAGGAGAACAATCTGCAGAGAAATAGGAGAACAACTCTGTTCTGATGGAACACATAAACACACCAATTCAAATCTCTTACCTTGATTGCTTTTTAAATAAGGAAAATTAAACCAAACAAAAAAAATCCCAAAACCCAAACCAATCAATCAAACAAAACACAATAAAACAACCAAAAATTGGACTCAACAGCTCAGTGTTGAGTTCAACAGATGACTTTTGTTGGGTTTGAAGAATAAAGAATGCAAGATTAGCAGGAGTGGTTGCCAACATATAGCTTAGTTTGATAGCATTAAAATAAAATACATGGGTAAATTATAACACTACATAACCTCTATTTATATGCCAGGAAACAAATTTAGAAGTATGTTCTGCTTTTGTCTACTTTGGCTGCAACATAAATAGCAAAGTGTCAAGCCTTTTACCTAGAAATGCAAGCAATGCCAGTGTGTCTGTCCTGTAATGAGTTCTTCCAGAAAGAAATCCTGATCCTTTTCTAGCAGAGCACATCAGCACATTTTGGAGATCACCCATCTGCAGCAAAACACTCTGGAACAAATTTATGTT